CTAGTGAAGCCAGTGGTATAAATCCTAGAATTCCAGTCCAAGATCAGGAGGAGCCCAATGAACCAGCTCAAGCAGGCAGAAAGGAAATGAATTTTTTTTAAAGAAGAATGCTATTTTTATTTTTTTGTCAATGCTTACTCAAGGATATTTTCCCATAAATTTTTAGAGAGAGTGGGAGGGAGGGAGGGAGGGAGAGAGAGAGAGAGAGAGAGAGAGATAGAGAGAGAGAGAGAGAGGGGGAGAGGGAGAGGGAGAAGGAGAGAAAGAGACATCAATGTGAGAGAGACACATCTATTGGTTGTCTCCCACTCACATCCCGACTGGGGCCAGGGATTGAGCCTACAAATGAGGTATGTGCCCTTGAGCAGAATTAACCCTGGGACCCTTTAGTTCATGGTTCAATGCTCTACCCACTGAGCAAAACCAGCTAGGTCAGGAAATGAATTTTATCTTTCTCCTCTTTTTGTTTTATTTAGCCATCAACAGATTGGATGATGCTTACTCACACTGAGGATGGCAGTCTACTAAGTCATCTGGAAACACCCTCATAGACACACCCAGAAGTAATGTTTAATCTGGGCACCCCAGGGCCTAGTCAATTTGACATAAAATAAACATTACAAGTCCAGCCCTTATCAACTTGACACCCATGTGCATCTCCATAAACTATACTTAATCTCCACATAAGGTCATAATAAAAGGTCATAATTCTGCCTAACATGTTGCAGTTATCCTACACACAACCAAAAATGCACTAACGCCTCCCCCAGGTAAAGTCCTTGAGTGATGTTTTCTTGATATCCTATAACTTAAATACTATGATGTAAAATTAACAGTACTTATATAGTACTGTAATATAAAGTTAATGCTTCTTATATTAAACAAGGGGCCCGGTGCATGAAGATTCGTGCATGGGGGTGGGGGAGGAGGGGTAGTTCCTTAGCCTGACCCGCACCCTCTCCAATCTGGGAGCCCTCTCCAATCCGGGAATTTCTGTCTGTCTTTGCAATCATATGAGCAAATTGTCTGAGACCCCCAACCCAGTTTGGTTTGTTGCTCACAGAATAATAGAGGCATTTTTTTTTCTTTGCTCCATTGGTGGAGATTTCCTTGAAGTTTTAGGATATCTTTAATTTTTCCTAGATACTCTGATTTTACTCATGTCTCTCACCTTTGCTTTCCCTCCATCCCCAACTGCAACAGTAACTTGCTCCAGGCTCACTTTGCTCTAGTGTCTAGGAGAGCTACGATTCCCAGCACTCCTGCTGCTCCCTGCGCTCTGGGCTTCCGGTCCTGGCGCTGCCATCAGAACTACGATTCCCAACATTTCTGATGTTCCCCCCGCTCTCGGTTTTCCCCGACCGAGGGAGCCACGTCCCCCCAAGCCTCTGGCTCTCCTGCTCTGGTCTCCGTCCAGTGACCGAGGGAGCCACGTCCCCCCAAGGCAGCGACCGAGGGAGCAACCCACGTCCCCCTTGCGATGCCACCCCCAGTCACGCTCAGGGTAGGGCCGATTGGGGGGTTGGGGCACCGCCCCTGTCACACTCAAGGCAGGGTCGATGGGGAGGTTGCGGCGCCACCCCCTGTCACGCACAGAGCAGGGCCAATCCGGGGGTTGGGGTGCTGCCCTCTGTCATGCTCAGAGCAGGGCCCATCAGGGGGTTGGGGCACCGCCCTCTATCACCCACAGAGCAAGGCCGATCAGGGGGTTGGGGCGCCACCACTCTCACATTCAGGGCAGGGCCGATGGGAAGGTTATGGCTCTACCCTGTCACACACCCTGTCACTCCAGCCATAGCCTCAGTGAGTGGAAATCCATGTTGTTGAGCCCATGCATAACCTCCATCCCTGTCACCATGGCCACTTTGTTCATAAGCTTGTTTGGGGACAATGACGGGAGTTGTTAGGAAGGAGGCTGACTGTTATCCATAGAATGGATCATCCTATCCAATTGATTTTAAAATGAAAATACTTTTTGCCCAACAAAAGTATGTATGAATATAATTGTCCAGGGTGAAAGTGGCTTAGTGGAGTTAGATTCATCCTGAATACATTTTAAAGATATTTCAATGTTTGTATAATTTTCAGTAACACATTTGTATTAATAAACGTGGAATCAAAACTTCCTCCAGCTCAAAACAGTAGGGTTCAGGTGGAAGAATTGTAAAAATGCCTTCTATTCATTTCAGTTTAGTGTGAAACATAACATAAAATAATGATACCCACTAAACAGGAAGGATATATGTAGGACTATTGCAATAGTCCAAAGAAAGAGATGAGGGCATGAATAAAAACAAAGACAATAAAGGTGGAGAGGAACAGACAAATTCAAGAGATATCTGGAAGAAAAATTATTCAGGTTCTCTGATTATGAGGGGAATATAACGGGAAGTTTTGACTTGGTCATATGTTAGATGGTGGGATTTTTAGCAAAGTAGTAATACATTAGGAGGGAAAGATGGGGCATTGAGTTTTGACATGTTGAATGTGAGGTGAATATGAGATCAACCAGATTCAGAAGACCAGTAGGAAATTGTGATGAAAATGGATATAGCTTAATAAAAAGATGTGGGCTGGAAATATGGACTTG